CTATAGTTATCTATATTTCACTATAGTAAACTAAAGTAAATGTTTGTTAGGGTATAATCTTGAAATAATTGCAGTGCATTGGATTAACCAATCAAATTATCAATTAATTTGGAAAAGTATATAAAAAAAACTCCAATTTCTTCCCCATCCCATGTATTTAAGTAGAAATTTATACACGAGAATGAAATTCTAGAAGGAGGCTGACAGTCGTCACTTTTGACATTATTTCATTCATACACGCTAACGTATGCATATAGAAATACATATGTATTGCTTAAGGGGGTAGCATTTGCTTTAAAAAAAAAACAGCAGTAAAAATGCTGCCCTTCGTGTTGATCGAAGCTTTATAGAAAAGTCTAACGTCTTTGAATTTTAGGGACAGTCTAAAAAATTACGAAATCAAAAATGATTTGCAGAAATAAAAGGCACATTTTACTTCGGCGAATGTACGCCAGAATATACAACCGGTTTCTATTTGAACAAATCTTTGAGCCGGGTATATACAGAATATTAAATAAGGTTAATTCAGGAATGCATGTGCACATGTTTTCGTTATTATTATTTTTTTATTTATTTATTTATTCATTTATTTTTTTTTTATTTGCTAATTTTAAATGTTTGCCTTTCAACATTTGTACATTAATTTCCGATTCTGGGGAAGACTTATGATCAGTGCATTGTCTTTTAAAAATTTCATTAAAAGGGGGATGCCTTAAGGAATTTCCATCCTCCTGTGATGTCATAGGTTTTTACAGAAACATTTATTAAACTAAATTCATACCAAGTAGAGAAATATCTTTTGGAAGATTGCTATTTAGGTGTGATGAAAATATTGAAAAGAATTTTAAAAATAAGTGTTTTTCTTCATTTAATCAATTAACATTCTTTCCTCTAACTACTTTTCGTGTATCTTAATTCACGCATTTTCTTTATTGAACTTTTAATGTATAATGGATTCCCTGATATTCATCAAAAATTATATTTATAAAGAAGAAATTATTTTGGTGCTTTCAACAACAGAATAATATATTTGAACCATTCTTACATATTTTTAATACTGAAATATATGGTACTTCTGTTTATTTAAATCTTACATCTTTAAAAATATGGCAACATATAAATGTTTTGCAATTATTAGTTTATTTGAAAATAAATGCAGTTTTTCTGAATTGAAGCATTGAAAATTGTGAGGGTGGAAAATATCTTTTTTTTTTTAAAGAGACATCAGAAGAATTGTTTTATTAGCAAGTAAGATTTTTCAGTGCTTTAAATTTACTCTCAAGAAATGCAAAAAGCACTATGAATATCTAGTAAAACAGAAAATGTCAGGAAGCGATTATATTTTTTGAAATTAAAAAGGGTATAAAAATAACTAAGTTAAATTATGTTGTTATATAGACAACTCATTCCATAAAATGAAAGCAGTGTATCATTATGTTTCTTTTTATTTTCAAAAATAATGCAATTTTTGGTATAAAGGTTTATTGTATTCAAATGTTATTTATTCACATGATATGCTAACTGATGTAAACATTGAATAAACCATGTATCTGTTGATATGTTTTCATTCATATTTTGAATTATATCACCATAACATTATCAGTAAATACTTGTAAAAGTATTGAAAAATTTAGTAAATACCTGTATTTCCTAACTGAAAACAGTAAATACATGCATTTCCTAAGCAGAATAGGAATTTCGAATATAATGAATGTTTTTTTTTTTTTTTTTTAGTTTTGCTTGGTGTGTGCCTATAGCTACGTAACAAGTCTGTGTGATTTACACATCAATAATTCACACCAACTGAAAAAAACATTCCTTAATTATATTTACATTTTACTTGTTTTAAAGCGGCAAAAATACGCTCAATGTTTGAATTTTTCGCTGTCCTATATCTTTATAGTTTTATTGACGTCTCCGTAGCCTCATTGTGACGTCACTTTAGCGCGAGTTTCTCCGTGCATATTTCTACGCGTGAGTATATGTAACAGAGACATGTATGTGCCTCTGCTGGGGATTGAACTCGGGGCCTCTGGCTTGCCAGTCCAGTGCTCTACCAATTGAGCTAAAGGGTTAACTCGGTAGCCCAAACTAGTAGGAAGCCGTGTATCTGACACTACCACATTGTCCCCCTCCAGAGAATGAGATGTCCTCATCCCTTTTGGAGTGCCGACGCCTGTGGGGCGAAAGTTCTGGGGGCAATAACTTTCACCCGCCAGAGAACACCCGGGCCCCACGTTGGGCGCCAAATGTAACAGAGACAAGTATGTGCCTCTGCTGGGGATTGAACCCGGGGCCTCTGACTTGCCATTCCAGTGCTCTACCAATTGAGCTAAAGGGTTAACCCGCTAGCCCAAGCTAGTAGGAAGCCGTGTATCTGACACTACCACATATATACGAAAATGACATTCGGATAGTTAGTACAGTAGAAAAACACAGCAAATATATATATATATGATGAAATGCCATGCACTTATTGGTACAATAGATCTTATTTTCATGAAATGTGGGATCTAGGACGGCATCGAATTATTTCCCGCTTAAGAATCAGCCTGTTACAACCTGCAAATTACGTACATTTTTCTTTCATATTAGAAGAGTACACTTGGCATAGATTTGCTTTGCTTTTAGCCCCCCCCCCCCCCCTCTCTATCTCTTTTGGGAGATGCAGATTTCGCATTTTCTTTCCGTCGAAACAGAAATTGAACGTCCGATACATATAGTAATAATTCATAGCAATCTAATAACAAATACTGTAATATGCTTTGTCTGTTTGTTTAACGTCCTTTCAAGAATTTTTCACTCATAATGAGACGCCACTACTTGAAGGTAGAGAGTTGTAAGTTTAGACCTGTACTCGGCGCTTACGGCCTTCGAGCATTGAGAGATCGTTTTTGTGCCAACTTCTACTGCGACATCGGAACCTGGTTTACATGGTGTCATTCGAAGGACCGGTCGCCACTTATCAGAGCGGATTCAGACTTGCGAGGTAATTATCAATCCTTACCTGACGCTAAAGCAAACGTTCTAACCACTGAGCCATTTTGTAATCTGTCAACTCAGTTTAATGTCTACCGTGAACTGAAAAGAAATATTTATCAATATTTTTAAATCTATATAAATAAAATCATCCAAGAAACAGCATGTCATTTACTGAAAAGAAATTAAGACTCTATACTCCTTAAATAGAAATTCTAATGAAAATATAAAGTTTGGAATGTAAAGCATGAATCATTCCCGACCAAAATTAATTCAAATATTTAAAAATGTCATCAAATACTGTAAATGTGATGCAGTTTGCAACTTGGAATTGAATGCAAATAATTTAAATTATATTACAACGAAAGAGCGATTTTTTTTATGAAATTGTTATATAGTTTGACTTTATCAAATTTCCTTCAGGTTCAGTTTAATTTACATAAATTGTTAAAATCAGGATCAATTTGACAGCAGTTACTTTTTCACAGTATACCTGTTCCCTTCTTATCTTTTGATTGGTTCAACAATATAGACCTTGTATTTTTATTAAATGAGGATAACATATTCAGATTGAAACGTTTTGTTTATTTTTTAGATTATAGGTTTTGGATAATGAATTCATTAAATTGCTTGTTTAGTTCGCTTTAAGGCTACTAAAACTCAATGTAAAATGATGTATTTATCAATGTATGTAATCTTAATTATACAGTCATTGGCAGATAAACTAAACTTTACGTTATCCAGTGTGGTTTGCAAAATGAATTTGAAAATTTACAAGTTTATTTGAAATTTAATGCGCATTCTTTGCTCAACCCAACATTGTTTAGGAGTTACTCCGGATTCCCTATATACCAAACAAACAACAAATATTCTATTTTGATTGTTTAATTTGGCGCTTCTGACCACAATGATTAATTTCCTGGGGCTAACACAGGGCCGCCCCACAATCAACATGTAACGACCCATATTGGGTGGATCAATCACTGGGTAGGTCACTAGTGCATGAACGTCACCATTCAATTATCAATCAAAATCAATCAATCAATATCAATCAATCAATTCAAATATCAATCAATTACTTGTCAATTACAAGTCAAAAATTCAAATTCAAATCCCCAATTTCAATTTAGAAAAATATGTGCAATATGATAAACATTGGAATGCGCGTGATAATTTATGTTGCACTCCTCCAGTTGCATTGAGGTGCGAACACACAAAATTCACCACGTCTACGTAGGCTGCTTGTAAGCTGTACCCATCAGGCAGTCTTAACGCAATACGCAAACACACAGAATTCACCACCGCGATATTGGCTGATGTGGACGCTGAACCCAGCAGGTACTCTTCACGGAATATGCAACACACAAAAATCACCACCGCCACATAGGTTGATGTGAAGGTTGTACCCAGCAGGCAGTCTTCAGGGAATACACAAAAAACACAGAATTCACCTACGCGACATAGGCTGAGGAGGACGCTTGACCAGGCAGGCTGTCTTTACGTAATAATTCATCACTGCCAACAAGGCTTTTATAGATTCTGGACCAAGCAGACAGTCTTCAGCTACGATGGTATAACAAAAACAGCAGTATTTGTTATAAAAACAAGAGGAGGGTGGATGGGTGAAATTTAAACATTGCCACAATTTTACTTCCTAAAAATTTTCATACCCTTAACGTTTATTGATTTTTTCGAGAGAGGATGTTGTAAACAACTTATTATTAGACTATACGCAAATGGACCTATATTATCCGGAATGATAGCTTGTGTCTACGGATAAAGATATTCATCCAAATGGACGTAAATTAATTGGAATTAACAAATGTTACTAGGGTTACTTAAATAAGTTCGATTATTCAAGATCAGGCTCATGTAAGCAATATTACATGTACTTTTTATCGTATCATTTGTGAATTAAATCATAGAATAACTAAAACAACGTTAGTGCACGAAAATTTATTATCATTTTTTCAACTGTGATTGTAAATAAAATATGTATCAGCAACAATGCTGTTCAATGTAATTTCAAGTGAGTTTTCTTTATGAAAATAAACATATGGAAATAAAAGTGAGGACAAATTTAACATGTCCAAGAATCTCAATTAATCTGCATAAAAAATAAAATACATATTTAGCCCTATATAATACACAGTCTCAAACTGTAATTCTTTGTTCCTTCTTTGTAAGAAAATATGCATATGAAAAGACTTAGGGCAAATAAAAAGCAAACAAACTCAAATGTACAACTTACAATATGTGAAAGAAAGAATTTATTGGGTGTCTTTTCCCCTTCTAAAATGTTTCTATCAATATTAATTTGTTCCACATAATGGTAACACGTTCACAAATATAAAAGACACAACTCTCACAATTTAATAAAAACACAAAACTCCAATAAATATAAAAGTAAACTTTTCAGGTTCCTTCAAGAGATGTTCTCTCCTTTTCATATATGTTCCCTAAATTAATGTGAATACAATAAATTGTAAAATAGATTGCCAAAGACAAGTTCTAAACGTTCTGGCCAGAAGACTTTTCACAAATATATTGACTCTTGTGTGAACAGGGCCTATCATTCCATCTTCCATTTCTAAATAGGTCGATACAATCTTTTTCCTCTGCCTGATTAGGATAGCCAATGCTGGGTTGGCCTGGATACCAGTTTGTGAAGGTCATGGACAGGTTTCTATCGTTCCAGTGATATTTACCTTCAATTCTTCTGTCGTTACCACCAGTCCAAGCGACGCAGTCATAAAGATTACTTGGACATGTGTCTGGAATAAACATTTCTATACAAATTAATTCATTTACATAATAAAATTTAACAAATCAAGTGATTTCAACACATTCAATAAACAGTTTATAAATTATAAATACTTGTATATAAATCTGGACTATACGGTCTTGAGTTACACAAAAAAGAATAAATATCCTGCGATCAAAGTTTGTATGTGTCATGCGAATTTTTATTTGAGGACTTTCAAAAAGATTTTGAGGGTTTACCCGATGTTATTTGTAAATATGTACCTATCAATTGTATGTGTGAACCAAATTTTGTGGCATTGACTCAAATGTAAAAACTATGAACATGTATATTACAAAAACTAGAGTGATCCAAGGAACGCATGTGTCGCTGCTTTGTAACTTCATTAAAGATGTATATAAATGTAAGTGTAGTTAGCTATTTACTTTGTCTTTGTCCGAGACAAAATTTCAAATAGTAGAAATACTTTATTTCTACATAAATCTACTGGTTCATCGATAGGCTTGGTGAAAAAAAAATCACGTGCGGGTCGGGACAAAGAGAGACAGAAGCGGGGCCTGCAGCACGTGAATTTGCAGAATCACGAGCATGTAAATATAAGGAATAACTGTCAGATTTTTAGCTCACCTGAGCCGAAGGCTCAAGTGAGCTTTTCTGATCACATTTTGTCCGTCGTCCGTCCGTCCGTCCGTCTGTCCGTCTGTCTGTCCGTCCGTCTGTAAACTTTTCACATTTTTGATTCTTCTCAAGAACCACTGGGTCAATTTTGACCAAACTTGGTACAAAGCATCCTTGGGTGAAGGGGAATTTAAATTGTTAAAATGAAGGGCCAAGTCCCCTCACAAGGGGAGATAATCAAGAGAAGACAAAAATAGGGTGGGGTCATTAAAAAATCTTCTTCTCAAGAACCACAGGGCCAGTAAAGCTGAAACTTATATGGAAGCATCCTGGGATAGTGTAGATTCTAAATTGTTCAAATCATGGCCCCTGGGGGTAGGGCGGGGCCACAATAGGGAATCAAAGTTTTACATTGAAATATATAGGCAAAATCTTTGAAAATCTTCTTTTTAAGAACCACAGGGCCAGAAAAGCTGAAACTTATGTGGAAGCTTCCTTGGGTAGTGAAGATTCTAAATTGTTCAAATCATAGCCCCTGGGGGTAGGGCGGGGCCACAATAGGGAATCAAAGTTCTACATTGAAATATATAGGCAAAATCTTTGAAAATCTTCTTCTTAAGAACCACTGGGCCAGAAAAGCTGAAACTTATGTGGAAGCATCCTTGGGTAGTGTGTTCAAATCATGGCCCCTCGGGGTAGGGCGGGGCCACAATAGGGAATCAAAGTTTTACATTGAAATATATAGGCAAAATCTTTGAAAATCTTCTTCTCAAGAACCACAGGGCCAGAAAAGCTGAAACTTATGTGGAAGCATCCTTGGGTAGTGAAGATTCTAAATTGTTCAAATCATAGCCCCTGGGGGTAGGGCGGGGCCACAATAGGGAATCAAAGTTTTACATTGAAATATATAGGCAAAATCTTTGAAAATCTTCTTCTTAAGAACCACTGGGCCAGAAAAGCTGAAACTTATGTGGAAGCATCCTTGGGTATTGTTGATTCTAAATTGTTCAAATCATAGCCCCCAGGGGTAGGGCGGGGCCGCAATAAATATTACAAAGGGGAGGTCTTGTGAAGAACAGCAGGGCAAAAGTAACTCAGGTGAGCGTTGTGGCCCATGGGCCTCTTGTTTGGTTTCATGACGATGATCAATCGATTGGCTTGCGTGATAATTTTATGCATAAACGCCTTCGGCATTTTATGCAAATTATCACGCAAGCCAATCGATTAATCACATCATGAAACCCAAAAAATTAGACAGTTATTCCTTAATTAGCACGATAGTTCATGAATGCACAAAAAAGCATCCACACATAGTATAAGATTGCGATAAAGTCTGACAGTCAAAGAAAATATGATTCCCAACAATCAAATAAATAATTAAGTTGAAATTATTATAAAAATAATTTATCATTTTACATGTGTTAATACCTGTTTCAAAATCTTTACACCAATTGTCACTCTACACGATCTTTTGTGGGATACCGATCCCGATGTATTTTCATAAAAATTTAAATTTCAGTTTGTGGTAACTGAATACCATTCAGTTTCAAAGTACAGTATTATTAGCTCATTTTTTTCTGTATGTTGTTTAACGTCCCTCTCGAGAATTTTTCACTCATGTGGAGACGCCACAACTTGCCGGTTGAGAGCTGCAAATTTTGTCCTATACTCGGCACTTACGGCCATTGAGCAGTAAGGGATCTTTTTCGTGCCAGCACTTACTGCGACACGGGGCCTCGGTTTATACGGTCTCATCCGAAGGACCGGTCTCCACGTCCCACAGTGGGATTCGAACCAGCGACGTAAGGATCAACTCCTTACACCGCTACTCTAGAGCAGACAGACATACAGTAGACAGACGCCGGGTAAAGTGATCCCTACATGTAAGTGCCACTCTGCTCTGTAGGCGACGCAAAAATTGCTCAATTCATTAAAATTTATGCATAATTGCGTACGATTAAAGCTAAGGGAAACGTCTGGTTAACACTTATAATTGTTTCAATTTTATAAATTACCTATATATAAACACAAGATTGAATTGTTCCTTTATCTAAAGGACTTTTACCCTTTATTGGGGTGAAATATTTTGAAAACATAAAACTAGATAAATCTTCAACAACATTTTGGAATTGAAAAAATGTTTTGGGTATGCTGCTTATTATAATAATTAAACTCATGATTTACTCTTAAGCAGAAATATCTTAGCCAGTCAATAAGACTCTGATTCTACAAGAACTCTGGAATTGGTATTAAAAGGATGCTGGATATTCATAGACAACATCTCTGTGGTCTTTGAAGGTCAAACTGTTGAAATTTCTAGGGACATTGAATGTGCTCCATTATTAGCCGACATGTTTTTATATCACTTTGAAGATTGATTGATTGATTTGTTGTTGTTTTAGGTCCCGTTCGATAATTTTTTTCACTCATATAGAGACGTAACCATATACTGGTGAAGGGCTTCAAATTTAGACCTTTATTAGGCACTCAAGATCTTTGAGATGTGAAGTTTTTTTATCGTGTCAACGTCAACCTTGACATGGGGCCTCGTTTTTTAAGGTCTAATCCAAAGGACCCTCACTTGTCGGTGGAGAGCTACAAATTTTTACCTATACTCGGAACTCAGGGCCACTGAGCAATGAAGGATCTTTTTCGTGCCAGCACCTACTGCGACACAGGAACTCAGTTTATGCGGTCCGAAGGACCGGTCTCCAGGTCCCACAGTGGGATTCGGACCCGTGACGTAAGGATCAACTCCTTACTCCGAGACTCTAGAGCCAACGCGCTAACCACTGCGCCACGCGGGCGACTTCCACATAAGAAGAAGAGACGCTATTGGTTTCAACTCCACATTCAGATCTATATGTATCGATGACGTTTTATCAATTAACAATTGCTACATCAATTCCTATTTCGTTCGACTTGTTATATCTCAGTAAATTCGAGGTACAAGGCACCGCAGAGTCTGCCACATCTGTTTCAAAGTTTGATTTTTTACTGACTATAGACGGCAACCGAAATACAGATCTGGCGGGTGGTAGGCATGGAATGCTTTCTCCTCCTACGCACCAGATCCCATCTTTGAAATTTTCAAGGATCCGTGATTTGTGCCCTATTCACCCATTTGTTTATATATTTGAAGGTTTATTTAAGACTGATCACAGTTCGTTATCTTCACCTTTTTGCATTTTTCTGAAGTAACTAAGGACTTACCTTCAAATGCATTTCATGGAGAAAAGGAGGCAAGGAACTGACAAATAAGTTGATGTTACTTAGATTTTAACAATCTTGTTTAAAGGCAGCTTTTAGCAAATTTTGCGGTCCTTATAATTACATTGTTTGTAAAACCTACGGTTGGCTCGTATATTGTCTGATATATTTCATACCTTTTGTTGAGTCACTGGTTTTACACTAAATTTGACTCTGGAGTAAACCTGATCAATAAACTTGGATTACGATGGTGTGCCTTGTCCGGGGATGGTTACTCCTCCTAGGTACCTGATCCCACTTCTGAGGTGATCAGAGGTAGATGTTTTGTGCTATTCACGATTTGTTTTGTTACATGGATTTATTGTTGAACAGATCGTTATCTTTACTTTTTATATTTTCTTTAAAGACAGCTATTTCAACCAGTCAAACAGATTCCTCTTTAATAAAAAATGACTAGCCTCTAAAGAGAAATGTCTCAACCAGCAAATTAGATTTTTCTTCAGTGATATATGACTAACCTTTTAAAACGAATGTTTCAGCCAGCCAATGAGATTCTTCTTTAGTTTCTATTTCTACAAGATGGGAACATCTTGCCTCACACTCAAACTATAAAAGAAATTTCTCTTTTAATTAAATATTCTTTTTGTCAATTATTTGTTTTTTTTTTCACACGAGATTAAGATTTTTCTTCTTAAAATTAAAAAAAAATGGTTGAGTAACTATGTGTATGGTGGCCCTCGTGGCTCTGTGGTTAGAGCGTTTGCTCTATTGTCACGGACAAAGGAGTTGATCCTTACGTCGCAGATTCAAATCCTTCTGCAGGACTTGGAGTCCCGTCCTTCGCATGAGACTTATAAACCGAGGTCCCGTGACACAGTAGGAGCGACTTTTGTTCCCATGGTTGCCCCTTTTGTTTGTCGAAAAAAATGTCACCAAGAAAGAAATGATTATTTTGAAAAACTATTTTTAATTCTTCAAGGATAAATTCTTTAGAAAATCTCGGCTGGATTACATCTGGGTGCTTGTCAATCAAACAGAAAATGGCTTCTATCCCTACATGAACGTTTTGAGGAATTTTTGTATATAAACTAGTGACATCAAAAATCACTAACTTCGTATTTTCTTCAACCTTTTCTGGAATGTGGTTGAAAAAATCCATCTCGTGACGAATAAAACTGGGTACTAATTTGCAGATAGGTTTAAGTAGAATATCTAGGAAATTACTTAGCCCTTGCGTTGAACAAGAAGTTCCTAATTACGCAACCCTAGTTCTAGGCTTTCTGGAGGAAAAAACTTTTTTTTCTTAATTGAAAACATTTTTGGAGAAAAATTTGGTCTATACATTGACAGAATCTGGAATTATTTAGATGACTGATTTTCAACCAAGTACATACAAACATCCCTTAGCGGCACGGCTTTGGCAAATGGTATAAAAGGAGGATATGTTTTACAGTAAGCACCTTTGAAAATGTTTACCTGGGTAGAACTGATATGACTATTTTAAATATTTTATTCCACAGGTGAATTCAATATAGGTCACATCGGTAAATTCCTCTCGCTTGCCATAGGAACACATTGAACTTTTTATACATTTTTAATGTTTTAAGTACCAGCCTAATGTTGTGTCGATTTCCTGATTTCACAGATGTGTTCTAACTGCCTTTCGCACATGTTTGTACAACTAAGGCTGACAGTAATCAACAGCTTTGAAAGTATGACCGCCCTCGATTAATTATAGAAAATCACAAATGTCTGCTGAAATTTGTTGAATCTTATAGTTTCACTGAAAGGTGCTCACTGTAACAGGCCCAAAGAACTCAAGGAATTTTGTCGGGGGTGGGGGGTGGGTGGGGAATGCACATCCGAACAATTTCAGTTTGGAGGGGTGGGCACAACCTCATAAGTTTTCCATGACACTTGACAAGCAAAAGAATATTGGAGCACAACTATAAAGTAGTCTTGTTTTCTAGGGTATATCTTGGCAAAAATATTGATTGTTGGAAAGGGTGAGTTGAGGTTCCTACGAACCTGACACCGGCCAAAATATTGTTCTTTCTGTAAATACCGTTCTATATAAATCCTCGGTTTTGAGACAAAGTTATACTGTCGCAATGTTCACTTTAGAATTCAGACAGGCATCTAGTTGTCTTTAGATTAAGAGAGATCTTATGATTTTTTAAGATATGAGAGTTTTGTAAAAAAAAAAAAAAAAAAAAAAAAAAAAAAAAAAAAAAAAAGATATGGTGCAATTTCACCATAAATTTCGGTCTTAAAAAACATCTTTCTTTGTTGCAAGATACTTTTATGAAACGGGCCCATGAACTCTACTTTATTGTAGTGAATGGTTGTGTAAATGTTAAAAAGTTGTGCATGTACGTTTCAGAATATTGATTTTTTAGAAAACGTTTGTGATGTCATATGGTCTAAAAGTTCCTTGGATTCTCTTAAGTAATGTTTTTCATTGGGTTTTTACCTTTGCCTCAATCCACGTGACCTCTGTTTGGCCAATGAGATAGCAGTGCGTCCTATATTTCACCCAGCCCGGCTCACAACCTGTTTCAAAGGCACAAAATTCATGGAACTTTCAAAAATCTTCTTTCCTGTTAAATATCTATCAACTGTTTACATAGTGATAATATCCTCATATCCTCATCAAAAACTTTCATTTCAAAACTTCCTTACGTTAGTTTCAGGCTTATTATGTTTTTTTTTTTTTTTGTTTGTCTGACAGTCTCTCTACCTGTCTGTTTGTCGATACACACACACACACACACACACACACACACACACACACACACACACATATATATATATATATATATATATATATATATATATATATATATATATATATATATATATATATATATATATATATATATATATATATATATATATATATTCCAAAAATTGATTTAGCTCATGATTAAGCTCACTTCAAAAATGTTAATCTTTGTTAAATTTATGTTAAAGAAATAAATCATAATAAATTCGTAGTGTTTTAAATTATCTTTAACTTTTACCTTTCGGAGTGGTGTAATATACCCAGCCTTCCACAGGGGGACCAGGTCCAATAGACTGAGGATTTAACCTGGCACTCAATAACTTACAGGATTGCATCCTTCTGTTATATAAAATTGCTAAACACCCACAACGATACGTAAAACATTTTCGTGCACATGATGCCAGATTTACCTCCAAAATTTCTTCTCTGATATAAGAGGAATAGGCCATGACAGCATTATCGTATTCTGTGTCTCTTTCTAGTTTCTTTCCACAATAATCAGAAAAAGAACAGAGTAATGTTCCCATAAAGGTTGATAAGGAGCACGCTATATAAAAGGACCTCATTCTGATCATACTGAGCAATAGAATAGCACACTATGTATATTGATCTCATCTAAGTCTAGTCAACTACAGAAGCTCATTATGTACACGTTTTTTTATGCAGAGAAAAATCAGTCATCTGTTACTAAATATCAGAATAGAAATTATGTGTTAGTAAACCTTTCATGTGAGGATTGATTTTTTTACAAATTGCTTTTTAATTTTAAGGACCGTTGAAATATTAATTGGAAATGTAATAAAGTTACCGTACAAGGAAGACGTAATGTTTTATTCATTTTTCTCCGATGTATAGCTAAACTCATGATGCGATATCTTTTATGAAAAATGATGTTGTAATCAAATGCTATACTTTATGGTAGATTTGTAGTTATTGGCTTAGGATGTGTAAAGAGGAATGTTTATTGACAGAATTGAAAATCGATGGAAGGAACATTTGGGAAAAGAACGTTTTTTTTTTTTTTTTTTTTTTTTTTTTTTTTTTTGCCCCTCAATGAATTTCAAATTAATTTATCTAGTAATGTCTAGTTATGTTTCCTCTGTTATATTTCATTATTTATTTGCTTACCTAACGTATAGTGTCACATGACTAAGGAATATCTAAAGGGCTCTCTTAAAGCGTCCTTGGAGGTTATGACGATTTATTACATGTATTAAACTATTCATCGTGAGAAACCAAAGAATTATTAACAATGAATCATCAGGGAACATAGAACAGGGCATAAGTATCACAAAAGGCTCATTGTTTCAATAGTTGTTGGATGCTGGAATACCTCATTGACAATATCTATGTCTCTTAGGAGAGCAGATCTTCCAACAAACTATTGAATTTCGAAAGGTACTAATTGTGCTGTTTAATTAGCCGTCCTGTTTTTAAACTCTTTTAGAGCAGAATTTAGAGGGGACTTATAAAGGTTGCCTATATAAGCCTGATGTGTCCAATCCAATAATGTAATTGACTTCACATACTGAAATATTGATTTAATTAAATTAAAGCAGAATTTATTGAAGAATTTCGTCATGAGAAGACGATAACACTTGCTTTGGCTTCAACTCGACATTTATAGATATTTTGACGACATTTTGTAAATAAACAATAGTTAACACTGCATGAAAAACTGTCTTTACAAAGTAAGTAAAGGTATTGTAAATGTAATATTTACAATGTCTTTAATTACATTTAAGCACATTTACTTAAATAAGAAAAAGTTGGTAAATATGGTCTTTAATTACATTTACTGTGAAGTAAATTTTTGTAATGGCCCAATTTACAACATCTTTACAAAAAAATTAAATACAATATTTACTCAAGTAAATGTAACTTTACTGAAATTCAAAGGTTGTCTTTGTCAATGTATTTACAAAAAACTAAATACTATATTTACCACAGTAAATATGTATTTACAAAAACTTAAAGATCTTATTTGCCAATGAATTTAATTCAAGTAAATATTAAATTTAATTATAATTAAAGGTGTATAATTTTAACCCCTACACTTTATACTCCCCATTTCACAACTTTAATACAATACAGTTTCAATCCTTTTCAAAAATAATATTTGATTGCTTTGATTGTGTGTTCAAATCTGGACTCAGGACAGTTCCTCCTGTGAATTGATGTCAATAAATTACATAAACAAATTTAAAAATCAGTAGCTATTTATTACTTCATTTCTTAAACATTTGAAAATACATAAAATATAATGGAAGTTGATCACTAATGCATACTTAATATCAAACCTAGATACATGTTTATAACACAAACAAAGCATGAATATATATTTGAAAAAAGACATCAAAATATTGTGTCTGAATAATTGAAGTAAATACAAAAATGAGATATGGAATGCTATGTTCTTTATACAATTTGTCGAATCTAATGTAAAACAAGTTAAGTAAACAGTTATTCAATATTTACAAACAGGAAAAAAAAATAAATTTAAGAGTCAATGTTCAGAACCCAATCATGTCCACTGGCTAGTTTTGGGGGATCTTGTTGTCTTATTGACCCCCTGCTCCTCTTTGACAGAAGTCTTTTGCTGCGTGGAGGACAAGTATCTAAATATTTTTTGTCTAAGCTATCTTTAATTTTTTGAAGTTCTTCACTTTCCCAGGAATATGAATGCGACACAAAACCATCATCTCCCTCCTCATCACTACTCATGTATTTGTAGGCATTCGGCAACTGAAGGAAAGACTTGACCTTGACCTTTTTCTCCTGAGACCACCCTGTCTTCTTTTCAAGGGCTACTAGTCTTCTCTTTAATTTCTGTTAAAGACAATATAGTTACTAAATAAAATGCTGATAAAAACCATTTTCAAGGAGACTTTTTAGATATTCATTCATATGCATGTACATACTTAAATACATTTAAAGGATAGCAAAGGTGATACATTGATTCAGTTTTAATTAATAACATATCTTTAAATTGTCTAAGATTTGCATCAATTGAAAAAATAATTTCATCCAAATCTTTTTTAATTCAACACTTTACTTGTATTCAAATGAGAAATGTTCATATCAGCAAACACTCAAATGAAATTCTTTTGGCTACTTCATTCTCTCCCCCCCCCCCCCCCCCTCAGGTGATAATTCATGATTTAATTAACTCATCACAATTCTGGATTCTTTTCTTTTCTTTTCTCTTTGCCAAGCTTTTAACTTTAAGAAATATTGTAAGCCAATGAAAACTTGCAATGACCTTGAACAGCCAAGGTGACCCTAAAACAGTGTCAGTTCCCATGTGAAGGTAAATTTAACTCTTCTACTCTTGACAAGAATATTTCAGTCACCTGAGGTTTAACTGATTGTATGATCAACCCAACATAAAAATCTAAAAAGTTTACCTCTTTCTTTCTCTCATAAGTTGCCTGTCTCTTTTTATGTAAATCTGTTTTGTTCTTTTTCTGTCTGTTATCTGCCTCCTTTTGTGACGTAAAATATCTTTTAATTGCAGCTAAAACATAAAAGTAACTGGTCATTACACAAAAGCTTGGCACTTATTATTTAAAAAATGTTCAATGTAATTAATTACACTAATTTAATTTGCAGCCTCTGATTTCAATTAACTTTAAATTGCATTCAATTTTTATTATGAATAGCTCAAATTTAAACAAATGAATGAACTTTTACTCAGAATTTGAATTTTCTCTTTTAATGCATACAGAATGTACTCCACTTCAGATATATATAAAATGCAATGTATTAAACACAGGAATTTTTCTATAATATATAGTAATTCTTATTTAGGTACCATTTATAACATCAATGCTTTCATCTGGAGTGATTCCTTGCACACTTTTCCTAATAAAATCTGTCATTTCAGAGTTTTCTTCATCCATGAATCTACAAAATATTTATGTTATATATCATAGTAAAACATTTCACGAGTTATTTTAAATTATATTAAAATACATAAAGACGTAGGCTTTGATGGATGCAAGGAAAAGTGTTCGTGATTGTATACGTATGTAAAGATACCTTTTATTGCAGTTCCATTTCAAATTTGTCTGTTGGCCATTTAAATACGAGTCCTTCACTGCACTCTGAATAGAAAACAATTATGGTGTATTTATATACATTCTAGAGTGCAGGGGTGCAATACAATATGATTACAATACAAGCTGACCTTCACTGAATGAACTATATTTTTTATAGCTACAATATCAAATGAACTATGACTTAAGAGGAAGTACAAAAAAAGCCCCTACTAAAAAGAAAGATTAATAACATCATTAGAAGAAGTTCATTCTAAAAAGCACTGCTTAAATTTCTGCAGAAGAAATATTTGATTCTAGTTCTATTATATTAATACATGTATAACAGAATCATTACATATTTTCTGATTGAAAAAAAATTGTGCCCATTCTTTTAACCCCAACCCCCCCCCCCCCCCCCAACCCCGAAAAAAAAGAAAAAATTCTTTTAGACTTCACACATACATACATGTAGTTGTTAACATTCTGTTTTCGGAATTCTTTAGAAACTGTATCATATGTTTTTTGGACAAATTAGCTTATATTCTAAATTCCTCACCCTAATCCTTGCTGGAACCTGTACAGGTTCACTGATTTCTTGCTTTTTCTTTTCAATCTCTGCTTTAACTTCTCGGACATCTTTCTTTACAATGGCCAATTGTTGAAGAATTTCATTTTGGTTTGCAAGTATCTGTGAAATTTGCGTTTTCAGACCACTGCCTAAATGAAATTTATGAGATACATGTACATTATGTAAACGTATTAACAAAAAATATCTTGAACACTTCAAGCAGGTGTTTTTTTTTTTCAACACTTGTATATAAAATACCAGTGATTTTTTTTCTTTGCATCATATGTATCTTTTTATCAACATAATTGATCAAGTTCTTATCCCTACCTAACAGTCAGGGGCATAATGCAAACAGGTTATTAGAAAAATAACTTACATAAGTTATTTTACACCCATACAATTTTTTTCAACGATAACCTTTATAATCCTACTTGGACATTTATTTCTTAAGGTTTTTGTGTTTCCTGCCAATATGCATTGCATTTTGGGATTCCATTATGTAATACTAGATGGAGTGCACTGACTTCAATGGAGAACTGGTGAGGAGGCGGAGATAAAAAGCATTTTACTTCTTATTTCGGGGTGTTATTTACATGGTTTGGGTCAAGTTTTTTATCATTAAATAAAAAATTATCCCTAACTTCCCCCCAAAATTGAACAATTTTTCTGTAATGAGAAAGGTTTAAATTTAATGAATCATTTGTTTTTGTCTTGGTGCACGAGCAAAAACCTTTGGTGCACGGGGTGTGAAGTTAGGGAGGAAAGACACAAAGTAACTTAAACAAGTTATCATTTCATTGAAACTACAGGTGTATTTTTGGAAAGATAACTTGTTTGAGTTACTAATGCTGTAAAAAAGTAGGTCATAGCAAAGAGAGGTAACTCATTGTCACAAAAAAATAACTCATTTGAGTTATTTTTGACAATAACTTGTTTGTATTATGCCCCAGGCCCTGACTGCCAAAGTAAAAGGTCGAACATTTCCATGGGATTTATAAAAATTACCTTCTCACCAAAATTTCCTCATAAGCAAGGTCTTTACAACGCTGTAGTTCTACTGTATAAACATATAAATTTAAAATTCAAAATAAATTTAACTAACTGTTTGATGGTGTTCTTCCTGATGATACGCTGGCTGGCTGACTTTGGTTTGCATTACATGGTGTCTAAGCAATAATATAAATTGAAGTGTTAAAGTCATGCACACTGATATGTTCCATAACTTTCAGCAATATTTTTGCAACAGCTTTTGAATAAACTTTATCTCTCTATTTTTATTAAAAAAGTTACCATCACTGTTTCCTGAGAAGCAACAGACTGAACTTGCTGGGCCTTTCTTTGTGGATTATTTTGTCCTGTAGATCTTTTTCTCTGCAAAAAATATTAATAATACATCAAAAAATCCACAAACCTGTACAGTTCCACTGTAATATATAGATACATGTACATGTGTATAAGCATAAGTCATGCCAAATATTATATATTGTAAAACACCCCTTGCTTATATGTTCTTGACTTATATTTACATTGAATTTCACCTTTTGAGTTTGGAAAGTAGGGAGGTCATCTGAATTATCTGATTCTGATGGGGAGAGTTGTCTCATCCATGAAGAACTAATGCCCTGCGATTGCTTTCTAGGAGATCTCCTAACCACTGTAGTGGGCACCATACTTCTGTTTTTCTGATAGAGAAAAGATAATTTATGATTACATGTCAGAAACGGTGATTTTGTCAGTGTTTTTAAGGCAAGTGATAAAAAGTGGGATAAAACTTTTTTCTAATTCTTGAAATTTTTATTGTTTTCATTTATATTATAATTTAAGTTCATATGTATGTGTAGAATTTTTAACTTGCTCTTGAACTATTTATTATCCAAATTTAATTTCATGAAACATCCATTGTTTAAGTATAGGATATTTTCCACTTTCTTCAACTGATAATGATTATATTCATTTAATAATGACATACAAAATACTGTATATCCTCGCCTATAAGTCGCTTTTTTGGGAGTTAAATTTTGGTCCAAAACTCTATGTCTGACTGATAGATGAGTCATAAAAAATTGGCATTTTACTGGACAATGTATTTATATAAATACAATTCCAATGCTTATCGTTTAACAAAGTCCGGATGTATTACATCATTATGTATTTTAAGATTATACATAAAGTACAAGTATAATTTACATATTTTAATAATTTTACTTTTACCTTAAATGTGTATTACTTATTTGTCTAATGATTTAAATTAAATATCGGCATCATTTTTAAAAAATGAATTGAAACCAGGTTTAAACATCAGAGCATTGATTTGAAATTGTCAACCGATTCTGGCAATAAGTTGTACTAACTTAAAAGCAGGTCAATGGCAAATCTCTCCAAAATAACTTCAAAACATACTATTATTATAGGCGGACTGACTTATAAGCGAGTATATACCATAATTATTTTATTCATAAGAAGAATCCCTAGTTTTATTCTCACTTGCACTGGGCCTACCAGGTGAAATTCATATTCATTTAAAAAAAATAGGTAAAAATAATTGATCTGAAAATACTGAATGTTTGAATATATATCCCATATCCTTGGAAATAAATAAGATTTATCTGTACTCAATAGAGATTCTAGAATAATATTATTATTTTCACATTTTTATTTTCATAATGGGTTATGTATGATGCCTAAGAGTAGGACAGGTATGTTGTAGTGCTAACTCCCAATAGAGCTCTTACCTTTTGTGCTTGGTGATCATGCTGCGAGTCTTTGTCATTTCCAGACTCTGACTGAGAAGGCTGCTGGGTTTGAGGATCACTATTTTTAACAGCTTTTCTTGGAGACCTCCTCACACCTGAAAACTGTATGTTTAATGTCCTTTTTTTCTGAAAGAGAAGACAAACTTTTTAAAGAATCTACAAGTTAAAAGTGGAAAAACTTAAGCAAGGATAATATTAAATCATGTGTTTCACTTTGGAATATAATGTGACCCAAAGGAATGGACTAGAATATCCTTGGAAATATCTTCAGTAGTAAATAAATACATGCAGTACTGATTTAAATTGCCTTAAGGAAGAGATATGTACTGGGATAATGTCTGAGAAAAACATTTTTGAAAGAATATGTCAATTCTATACTTAGAGAAGTAAAAAAAAATTACATCTCTTTTAAAATAATCAATTTAAAATAATTTGTAATTTTTTTCATTAAAGTTAAGTTCCCCTAAAAAGACAACAAAGCACTTTTAATTTACAAAGATTGAAATCTCATTATTGATGATACATGCATGCATAAATGATATAAGGAATTGTTTTAATTTCATATATAGGAAAATTTGAATTTACCTTTTGACTTTGATTTCTTTGTTCTATATCATCTGAATCTGAGGAAGACAATGGCCGTACTCTGTGAACAAATGTTCCTGTTGCAGTTTTCCTCGAAGATGAAACAGGCTGCTCCTGATGTTTCTGAAGAACAATTATTTAAATTAATCCATGCAAATTCATTGGTGAACACACACAATTACAACATCTATGCCAAAAATCATAATATCTAACTTGTTCAAATTTATGAAATTTATGACTATTGAACATGCATAATTTAATTATAACTGGAATTGAATCAATATTTGTATTTCTTGCTATTTTAAAAACACTCAAAATCAACATTCTTAATGCCCTCTGTACATGGAGAGTTTAATTCGCAGTAAATTAATGCAAAATAAACTAATGCGAATTAAAGTTTACTTCTACTGTAAGGCTAATCAGTAAGGCTTTTATGAGATTAACAACATTAAAAAGATCTTATCAATTAATGTCCCCATCACCCCACCTCCCCCAGGATTTTCAAGTCTAAGATAGTTCAGGTTTTTTTTCTTTGCTAGTCAAATATTTTTGTGCCCCCCCCCCCCCACACACACACACAATTTGAAAAACATATTTCTGCAGTCTACAACTTGAACCCTTCAAAAAGCTCAACAATAAAATAATTAAATGTAACAATAACTTCATTTAAAACTATATTGTATGGAACAAATTTCATAACTTCGAAATTAAAGTGCCCTTGCACATATATTGCACAAAATAATCTTAAAGTGGAAGATACAAGTAAGATATAGATAAAAATATCTGGTAAAAAAAAACACCAAAAAACCCCAAAGCATATTAAATGCTCTTTTGTTTTAACAATTCAATTGCAATTTCTTCTGCTAGGCTATCTGAATATCTATATGATCTGAAAAAATTCAAATATGGGGTTCCTTTACAGGGATTTATCAATGCTGATTTAAATACTGCTAAACAGTACCTTTCCCCTTTGAAAAAAATGTGACAATTCCCTTTAAGCTACAGAAATTCCCCTGATTATACAAACATGTAACATTTTAAATATTATTTATTTATAAAAGTTTTAGAAATGACACCTAGATTAACTCTCAGAATGCAGATTTTTGCTTCATTTATCTGAAAATTTCCAGGGGAGCATGTCCCGGGACTTCCTTTGTATATTCACGCCCAGCATAATGTCAGTGGCGTATATTCCATACTATGGCAAAAAGGCTGTAGCCTACACATCATTTCCTCAGGGATAAAAATTTGGTTGAATAAAGGGGCGAGGAGTTAGTAATAAATGAATGCACAGATCTAGAAGGGGAGAGGGTCTTGAACCCCCCCCCCCCCCCCCCCCCCCGAATTTGCAGAGTTTCTAAAAGTATATACTGAAGCAAATGGAAAATGACTTTGGACCCCCCCCCAGAAAACGTGGACACCACCATCACCATGAAATGTGTTTTTCACCTTTGGAAATGAATTTTACATTTTTTTTTCTTGGTTATTTTTTGGTTTTTTTTTTTGGTTTTTTTTGGTTTTTTTACTTGTCAAGAAATTTTTGGGTTGGATTTTTTTTTTTGACAGGGGTGGACACCCCCCCCCCTCGCCCCCCCCCCCCGAAAAAATTCCTGGATCCTTGCCTGAAATTGTACCTATTAATTTAATTTTTTTGCAAATGCCAAAAAAGCATTCTTAGCAATCCACACTTTTATACATATCCTATTATGCTTACAGTTTTACTTTATATTTAAGGACAAAACTATTCCCATAACTGGAATTTTTTAAGCCAAAATAAAAGTGCTATTATTATTAAGTCTGTATCAGAAAATTTCATCAAAAGCAATAAGTGCAGGAAATGAAATTGATAACTTGAAATCTATTTGGTTTGTAGGAAATTAAACGTATTGTTCGAATTTTGATTATTCAGTAAGAAGGTTTCCATATTTTCTGAGCAGAGTAAAAGGATAAGTTAAGAGTTCAGTTTTGTTAAGTGGTCTTCATATCACAATATAAACTGAAAATATGTCTACAATATTATTTTTACTGGCCAGATTAAATTTGTAGATGTCTGGGTTTGCAAAAATGATTCCTTTGACCCCCCCCCTCCCCCCCAATACCTCACTTTGCACCTCAGGTTATAAATCTGTGACTTCACACTAGCCTACACATTATACGCCACTGAATGTCGAGCAATTATTCTCATTTTTCCCCTTTTACATGAAAAGAGTAGTCAAATAAAATATCTAGATCAATCCCTGCTTTAGCTTATCGAAAAAAAAAGTTAAATCTAAAACAAACCTTTGTTTGTGGGGTTGACGTAGATAAGATAGATTCAGAACATTCGCCTCCTGATGAAAAGTGAAGATGTAAACTTTCCTCCTCAATCTCTGTTGCCTCTGAATCCCAATCCATCTTTTTTCCAAATGTAATAAAACATCGGACCCGACTTCCATTTTTAAACTGTGTGTGAACAAAGAAAGTAGCCGCGCATGGAGAAGGAAGAATCCTATTGGTTAGTTTTTAACTAGCTGCTGATGTAAATTAGTTCGGGGATTTGGAAGCTTTTTCTTTTTTCTTCAGATTTGTAGTATACTTTCTAAAGAACATTGCATCAATTTAAAACGAATCATATTGATTTCAACGATAAGTCTGAACCTTAAGATATGTATATAATTTCGTATACTTGGTAAAATACAAAACAAAACAAAGCGAATAACGAATACGTCGACGTAGAAGTTACTGATGCTGAGAATCCCCGCCTAGGAGGTCTTCGGAAAAGTGCGCCAACAACAGCTCAACGGAGAACAAAGGATTGCCATGTAAGTATGTCCGTAGTTAGCATGATAAGCATTTTGTAACTTAAAATTCATCTTTTGTTCCTAAACACGATGAACGTTCAT